CCTCTCACACTGCAAGAGGGAATCTGTGAGGGTGGAATCTCACCCTCAGTGGTCCTTTAAAATGCTGAAATCATAGATATTCCCAGTAAGTAATTACTAATATAAGACCTTATTTGGTGGTTTAACAAGCAAGCCTGTCTACTCCTGTTTGTTTTTGTTTTAATTCCTTTCTTTTAACTGAAGATGAATCTTCCTCTTCCAAGGTAGATTGCTCTATTCTTCCACTTCAAATGGGAGCACGGATTTGAGAGGGAATGACATGAAGAGATAAGGCAAAAGAATATCAGCCAGATGGGCCACTTTATGCCCGGAGGTCAGCAGAGTATGGCTTTCCTCCTGAACTCATACTTCATAAATGAAACAAATAGTCTTGATGTAATCCAAGCTTTAAAAATATTCTCTAATCATATTTTCTTCATACATATTGATTTAATAGAACAGTTGAATTGCCATGAATATTTAATAAATGTTAGAAAACATAATTATGTGTATGGTGTGCCTAAAAATAATAGACTTAGTCCACAGAAATACTCAGTATCAGTCTCTGATCTTATTTTCTATACTGGGAAACAAGGCTCATTGTCGATAAGATATTCTGATTTTCTTTTATTCTTTCTTTTTAGACAAAGCTTTAAACATAATATTTTGTACTTATTTTCTCTAATATCTTATATCATGTTTATTAATGTACCAGCTAGACTAAGCCACACTTGGTGTGTACATCTATTTGTATAGTAACTGATTTATAATAACTGCAAAGAATGGCATTTTCATCCACTATCTTGAATGAACAACAGTTTTCGAATTGAACCTTGATATACTGTTTTCACAGAATTGAAAATACTTGAAATTAGAAATACCAAATCTTCTGACTGTGCCTGACTGGAAGGTAAATCTGTAGCATCACCCTGTAATCTTCCATTTTCTTACTGTGAGTGGTAATTAGCTAAACAATTGCTCAGCTGTTATGAGTGGGTACTTCCCCCTTGTCCACTAATTCTTACCTGTCACCTCCATCAAGACTCACTTCTTCTGGGTCAAATATGTATAGAAGAGCAGTGTAAGAGGAGAGGGAGATTGGAGGTATACTCTTGGGGGAAGATGTGTACATAGTAAAGGAGGGACAGGTGTGTGAACAAAATGATGGCAGATCAAGGTTGGGTAAGATTGTAGCATTTCCCATCACAACTGTAGTGATAGAGGGAGTTATAGAAGAAGACTGGTTATATTCATAATTAGCTCATGGAATTAAGGAAACCTTCACTTTGAAGTATGTAGTTAAATATAACCCAGGAGCAGAATGAAGAACACGTGTTAGAAGTGGCCAGCTGTCAGGAATCATCTACCTTGCCCTGCCATCCCAAACCTCTTGACATCACTTTGATGCACCCATTACCCATGCTGGGTAACCGAGTTAATGTCTTCTTCACAATTAGACTGTGCTTCCTGAAGACAGAAATGTCTTAACTTCATCTTTATAGTCTCAAGGCAGCTAGCAAAGTATATATTCCCAATATGCTCCTGTTGAACAAATAAGTTCAATACACATCATTCAAAAAGAATTAGTTGCTAACACTGAAATAGCCAGGGTCCAGATACCCATTAAGCAAGACTGAAAAGAGAAGGGATGTGTCTTATGTGAAGTGTTCCAAAAGTGTTCAAAGACTTTGCCTTCCTGTCTGGAGACCTTAAGAACAGCACTGCTCTGATACCACTATTTGATGTATTGTTCTGATATCACACTTTGATTTCGTTTGGCTGCAGGAGTAATCACTGAAGGCTGCTTGGCATGTGTGTTTATTTGGTACAGAGTTTCACGAACTTTTGGAACTCTATCACAAAAGAAGCCAGATTCGGACACCTGGGTGGCTTCTGTAACTCTATTACAAAATAAGCCAGATTTGGATGCCTGGGTGGCTCAGTTGGTTAAGCATCCAACTCAGTTTCAGCTCAGGTCATGATCTTACAGTTCATGGGTACGGGTCCCACGTTGGGCTCTGGGCTGGCGGTGTGGAGCCTGCTTGGGATACTCTCTCTCCCTCTCTCACTACCCCTCCTCTGCTCATGCTGTCTCTGTCTCTCTCAAAATAAATAAGTAAACTTAAATTTTAAAAACACACAAATAAACCAGATTCTAATTTCAATCCCAGAACCCTATACTCTCACCTAAAACATACCCATCAAAGGTATAAATATGAGACGGAGAAAAGTAAAGTCATCACAATTGTGCAAAGACTCTAATTGTGCATGAGAAACAATTTGCATGAATAACAATAAATCTCAGCAGATTCACTTGAACTATTAATTTCAATGCCCACATATCACAATGTATTTATCATTAGGGATGTACTTAAATTTAAGTGGAAGTAATATTGTGAAATATTATGAAATCCATAATTATAAAATAATTTAGAGTTTGCAGAGTAAGACTGAATTAGTTTTTAATAGCATCTTACCATTTTGCATTCAAATGTGGTTAATTAACAGTGTTTGGTTGGATTCCCTCTTCTGCCTTCTTTCCTGTCCTCACAGATACTAACAAAATAAGGAATCCAAATGGCAGCTCAAGGGAAAGTTCATAACAAGGAGGCTGGAAAAATTTGCCCACTGTAAGACAGATACCTGAAGAGCTGAGAAGATAAATCAGGGAAATTCTTTGTGATCAGGGTAATTCATGGAAATCATGCCCTGAGCTATCAAACGGGAGAGAAAAAATGTCTGCATCTCTCCAAATAAACCCTCCAATGACAGACTCCATTACAATTATAAATCAGCACTGGCAAATTTGCATTCATTTCTACATCGTTCCTTTAAACCTCAGAGAAAGCACTGCCTCATCTCCATCTAATCCTTTCCCCAGATCTTCATCCCATCCCCCCTCATCTTGTTCAGAACCTAGGTTCATCACTTTTGTTTCTCAGACCTTTTCTCTCCACAGGCTTCTTTATCTCAACTTACAAACACACTACAACATCATCCAATCTCCCCATCTTCCTCACCGGGCATTTCCTTCTAGCTGTCACCTCTTTTTTCCTTCCTTTCTGTTCAGGATCATCAGAAAAGCTATTTAAACTCTGCTATATCCCTTTCATTCACGGTCACACCTCTGCAATTTACCTTTCATTGAAAGTACTTTCCCTAATGCCCCAGTGGCTACTTTTAAAACAGATTATCAAAGGGACACTTATTGGTCTTCTTTCACATTGAACCCTTTGTAACATTGAGCACTGCTAACCCCTGCTTCCTTCTTAACATTCTCTCTTCCTTGGATTTCTAGTATAACAATTTCTTCTTATCTTTCAGAATCCCTGAACTTTGGGTATAAAACCTGGTTCCATCACTCCCTCTGTGTAGCCTTGGGTAAGCTGTGTGAACTCAGGCATTAGTTGCACTGAACTTAGCAGCCTTTGACCTTTCCAGCTGTCAGTCTGGGTCCCAGTGGCCAACAGAAACCATAGTAAGGAGAGTCTTATCATGGGAGCATTATAAGGATGGTGATGCAACAGGAAACCATTACCAGAGCCAGGATGGAGTTGGAAACTTGATAAAGGAACTTTGATCGTGGAAGAATTCAGTCACTGCCAAAAACACAGTGAAGCTGGCTCGGGAAGAGGTAAGTGCCCTGACCATCTCTTACTCCTGCTATCCTCCAGCCTTCTTCTGATGCCTTTCATTGGTCAAACCTAACTGGAAACCCAGAGCACAGAAGAGGCCGGGTGATGCAAACCCTAGAGCTCAGCCTCCTGAGACACAGCAAGGCGGGGACAAGGAGAGAATGAACAGAGCTGGAAGACCAACAGAGTGCAGCCAGGGCACGAGCACCCTCCCTGCCACCCCCTCATTCACGCAAAAATATTTAAGGTTCCACGGACTATTCTAGGGCATACAGAGGATCACAAGACAGAAAAGATGGCCATTATCATTGTGCTTTCATTCTCCTTGGGGAAGACAGGAAAGCCATAACCATATAAATTTGAGGTCATAGATACAAATGAAGAAAAGGACTGACTACCATGACTCTAAGGTAGACTCTATCTCTGAGCCAACAGAACTTAAAATAAATAAGAAGGAAGGAACAGTAAACTTTCTAAACATGAAGGGAGGAGTATTTAAACAAGAGAGATTGGCAGAGGCAGAGTGCAAATACGCTGAGGTGGAAACCCATTGGGCTTATCCCCAGGAGAGACAGGAAGCCAGTGTGGCTGGAAGGAGGGTGGCGGGGGATGAGGTAGGAGTGGTTGGCAGAGACTAGATCATAAAGGGCTTGGTAGGCCAGGCAAGGAGTTGGGGGGCGGGGGAAGGGTTGTTAATGCAACAGAAAAGTTTTAGGCTGGGGGCAGGAGGTCAGAGTGTTTGTAAGTTGCGACGTATCTAATTTCCATTTGTAAACTATGCTTCCACAATTCCGTGAAAAATAAGCTGTAGCAGGGCAAGACTGGAAACATGCTGGTACAGTCTGCATTGCCCCGACTCGAGTTCTCACGTTCAGGAGGGCTAGGTGGTGTTTTGCGTAGGGGCCGCACTGTTTGCGTCAGGTCATGTGCCTGACACAGGGGTAACACAACTATTGACTGGTTGGCAGCCCATGATGTGGTTTAGAGATAAGGGCTCTTGCAACTGGACTGTGCTCCTCGGAAATGTGGATTCGAGGATGAGAAGATAATTAATTAGTAGTCAGTAGTGTGAGGACAGATCAAAGAGGCAGAGAAAAATGGAATTCCAATGGGGAAGAAATGAGAACAGCTTCTATTTAGAGGTGACTTGGTTCCTAATAACTACTCATATATCCATGTAAACATTCCTGCTTTCATCCTTTTAATTATGGTGGTTGCTGGGTCTCTCTTTTTTGCATGCAAAATAGTCTAATGAGCACACTAGTGTCCTCAAGATTTCATTCTTCTTCTTCACAATAGTCAGAAGTGACAAAGATCTGCTCTGGTAACAAATAAACCCCTCAAATCTCAGTTGTCTAAAACAACCAGTGTTTACTTCTCACTCACTTTAAATAGCCATCATGAGGTGAATGGGACTCTTTTCTGCATCATCCTCTCTCCAAGACCAAGGCTTACAGAGCATATACTCTCCGGAACATTGCTGATTGCCATGGCAAAGAGAAAAGGAGTTCTGGAAGGTTTTGCATCAGCAGTTAAATGCTATGCTCACAATTCATGAATTCAGAATGTGTCCCGTGGCTCGTCCCAGCTACAAGGAAGCCAGGAAATGCAATCCTACTTGTACCTGAAAGAGAACAGAAAATATTTGATACACTTACCACCATTCACTCGTCTATAACCATGGTTTTAACTGCTGCCTATACAGCAATGTCAAAATTTCTAGGAGATGCCCCATTTTCACTCCTTATCCATATTTTCAACTACCTGCTGGAATGCCACAATTGGACTATATCATAGCCATTTCAAATATCAAGTACCAAGACTGTACCCTTTATCTTTCCCAGAAATGTTCTGTGTTCTTTCTGTTGGTTAGGGGTCCCATTATCAAGCCACTATATCAAAAAAGAAACCCAGGCGTTATCTTTGACTCCTCCCTCTCTTCCCACATCCAGTTAGTTGCCAAGCCTATAGATATTTTCCTCTAATTTATTCTCATCCTGCTAACTCTATGACCATTACCCTACGTCAGTCCTTCATGGGCTCTTGCCCAGAAAATTCTGTTAGCCTCCTTTCTGGTTTTCCTGCCTTAATCTTTTCCTATAAACTGTGATCATTGATTCATTCAAGAAACACTCATAGAGTGCTTACTGATTTTTAGTGCTGAAGTAAGTAATGGGTCCACCTTGATGAAATTCAGTCAAAAGACAGAGATTGCTGTAAACAAGTTTCAACACAGTGGACAAATGTGATAATAATTATATAGCAAATAGTGTAGAAATGTAAAGGAAACATCAAGTTGAGCATGGTACTGATGGGAAGGTAGTTTTGGAAGCTTTTAGAGCAGAAGTAAAACTTCAGCTAAATGAGGAGGCATTAGGAACTGCTCTGCCACGTGAGCCACAACAGCTAGAAAAGGTAAAAGAAGTAGCATGTGTCTGATATCATGGAGGTACTTTTCCTGATTCAGCCAAATTAAGGTGGATTGAGACAAACGCCCTGAAGGAGCAACCAGGAACCTGATCAATAAGGACCCAGTGTCCCAGTCAGTTATCCAGAAGGCAAGTGGTGGAAAGTCATTCATTGAGATAAGAAACTCAAAAGGAAGAGCAGGTCTATGGGGATGATACTTTTAAATATGGATCCCTTCTCATAGTTGAACAGTGATTCCGGGCATAGTGACAAGTATCTTACTTTAGTACAGCTGACCCTGGAAAAATGTGGAGATCTGACCCCTACACAGTCAAAAATCACAAGGTGTAACTTTTGACCTGCCCCCAAATTAACTACTAATAGCCTACTGCTGACTGCAAGACTTAGCAATAAATAGATGGTTAACACACATTTTGTGTGTGTATTATATATTCTTATAATAAACTATGCTAAAGACGTTATTATGAAAATCACCAGGAAAATACATTTACTGTGTTTATTGAAAAAAATCTGAGTATAAGTGGACCCATGCAGTACAAACCAGTGTTATTCTAGGGTCAGCTGTATTTTTTTTTTTATCCTCACAACAATTTTATGCAGTAAAGTTGTACCATTATCTTCATTTTGCAATTTAAGAGCAAAACACTGAGATTCAGAGGGTAATGACCTGACTACATACGCACTTAGTAAATCTGTTTTGCATTGGAGCCCAAGTTGCTCTCTGTCAACAAAGCCATGCGGAGTTTGAGGTACCTATAGGAACTCCACCTGCATGTGTCCACAGACTGGGGCACCAGGGAAGGACTGGATTGGTAGTCACCAACACATGGGAAACACGGTGGGGTCAAAGTGACGGGCATGAATGAGATGGCTCAACCAACTCTAAAAAGAAGGAAGAAAGGAAAGAGGACCTGGGAACGTTAAAGTTAAAGGGGAGAAACGAGCAAAAAAAAAAAAAGTTTGAGGAGTCATTTGATAATGTGAATCCTTAAGAAATGTCCTTCTGTGAACCTTTCTGAGAAGTCCCTAGTCCAGGTGTCTGGCACTCCGTAATGGACCCTTGGGGTCAGCAGGGGCATTCTGTCAAGGGTGGGCCTTTCTACCTAAATTCTTCAGCTCCTGAAGGGCCAAGTGATGACCCGAAACTTGCACGAGGACTTCACTACCTGGGTGGGTAAACAATTAGCAAACTGTCCTCAGAGCAAGCACATCAAGAACTCTTCCTCCTCCAGAGTCGCCAAAGGAGCTGTGTGGATGTGAGCGTCCCGAGTTGCTCCACCGGATCAGAGGTTACTGCAGAAACCGCCCACAGGCCATGGGCCAGGAGCCAAGCGGCTAGCGGACTGGGACTGGGTCCCACGCGGGTAAAGAGCGCGCGCCCGCCACGGGAGGCCGAGAGCACGCAGGGCCCCCAGCCCGTCACCGCACTCTCCGCTTCACCGCCACCTCCCCCCTTCTCCGGTGCCCGCTCCCCCTCGGATCCCTCTCCGCTCCAAACGGCCCGCCCTCGCAACCCCAGCCGCGGCAGGCTCCGCCGCTCGCAACACCCCTCCAAGCCCATCCTTGTGGTGGGCCGGACTGCGCGTCACGGGGGGGCGGGGCCAGAACGCCGCTCGCGCTAGGCCCCGCCCCCGCCCCGCCCGAGGCCCCGCCTCCTCTGGCCGAAAAGGGGCGGGCCGGCGGCTGCTGGGTCCAGAGTTTTCACACTCTCCGCCGGACCCGTCCCTCCGCCGCCGAGTCCTTACCCTTACTCCGGGCCGTCTCCTGCCCCCTGAGCGGACGCAGGGACTCGAGGCAGGGCGTGAGGGGCGCCATGAAGGGCCGCCGCCTGACAGGCGCCGCGGCGGAGGGGCTGGCCGGGTGAGGGCCCGCGCGGGCCGAGGCATGTGGAGCCCCGGCGGGAGCCTGCTCCAGGCACTCCCCCGGCTCCTGCAGCACGCCGCCCTCCGGGGCCGCGCCGAGCTGCCGGCCCGCTGGGCCACGCCGCGGGCGGCGGGCGGGGACGGCGCGGCCGATCGCCACCCCCGCGGGGGCGGGGCGAGCGCGGCCGCGGCGGCGGCAGCTGCCTCGGGCGCCCTGCTCGGCGCCTATCTGGAGCGCCACGGCCCGCCTGCGGCCTCGGAGCTGCCGGCGCCGGGCGGGGCTTTGGCGGGCGGCCCCGGCAGCGGCGGCGGCGGCGGCGAGGTGGTCGGCGTGGCGGAGGTGAGAAACTGGCGCTGCTGCTGCCTCGGCAGCACCTGTTGGTGCCGGAGCCTCGTGCTGGTGTGCGTGCTGGCCGCGCTGTGCTTCGCTTCCCTGGCCCTGGTCCGCCGCTACCTGCAGCACCTCCTGCTCTGGGTGGAAAGCCTCGACTCGCTGCTGGGGGTCTTGCTCTTCGTCGTGGGCTTCATCGTGGTGTCGTTCCCCTGCGGCTGGGGCTACATCGTGCTCAACGTGGCCGCCGGCTACCTGTACGGCTTAGTGCTGGGCATGGGACTCATGGTGGTGGGCGTCCTCATCGGCACCTTCCTCGCCCATGTGGTCTGCAAGCGGCTGCTCACCGCCTGGGTGGCCGCCAGGATCCAGAGCAGCGAGAAGCTGAGCGCCGTGATTCGCGTGGTGGAAGGAGGAAGCGGCCTGAAGGTGGTGGCGCTGGCCAGACTGACCCCCATACCTTTCGGGCTTCAGAATGCAGTGTTCTCGGTAAGTGGTATCCCGCTGCCCCCGTCGCTTTCCGGGACTGTTTTCCAGCGGTCTTGTGACGGCCCCGGGAGGGCGCTCCATCAGATACATGCCAGAAGAGAAGTGACATTGACCACACGAGTTACAGTCCCGCTGCGTCGCACGCTGAGAAATCTTACGCAAATAAAACAAATTGAAGTCGGAGCCTCAGAGGGAGATCTGGTACAGAAAGAAGTACTCCTTTGTGGCATAAAAGTTTGATTAAAAACGAAGAGTCCTTTTAACTTTAAGGGGAGATGAATGGAAATGTCCATTGTAAACATTTGTCACCGTCTTTCTGTAGCAGCTTTGGCAACAGCCAGGGAGTGAGGGCTTCACTTAACTAGCTTTTTCTCTTGCTGCATAAACGCATCCCGGATTTTGACTCAAGTTTTTAAGGACGCGGGGCTAAAGGAAGTGTTTGGGTAAACAGTGGAGGGACTAGCTTCAGGCTCCATACTACGGAGTTTCCTAAAATTTGTAGTAGGCCTTTTCTTCATAAAGTAGTTGGCTTTAGTACGGTGCAGAGGGAGAGAGTCTCCAGTTCATTTTCCTTTGGAGGAACTTCGTTTTGAAATCACCAGGTAGGGGATAAAATCGGACGGATGACCTTTTGCCTAGGGAGCATATATTTTCTTCTTTATACACACGTTCCACCTCTCTCTTTTTTATTTTTGCCTTATATTCATATGTTCTGTTTCTCCAATCTAGTTTTCTCTAGCTCAGTGCAACTGAGGGTTAGGAATACTAGTGAGGAGATCATCTGACTGGAAGAAAGGAAGCCAATCTTTACAAACTTCGTGACTTTGGAATGAACTATTAACTCTCTCTTAACTTGCTTTCCTCTTTTCTAAAGTGAAAAGGGCTGAACTAGATTACCAAGTTCTGCAAATTCAGTGATTGTAAACTACAAAGAGTTCATTTAGAGGTTTCTAGGAACTCAATCCTTCAGCTTGACTTGAATGAAACTGTTATGGAAGTTAAGAGATACAGCATGCAAAACCATAGGGATGGATGTATTTTATATTGTGTTAGCAATTGTGATACATTGTATTGTTTCAAAAATAAGTTCTCTAGAAACTTTCTCATTTGGTTTTGTATTAATCATTCCAACCACCGATTCCTAAAAGATAAAAATTGGTATTTTTAGGAGTGTGGTATCCTTTTTTTTTTTTTTTAATATTTTTATTTCTAGGAGAGAGAGAGAGAGACAGCATGAGCAGGGGAGGGTCAGAGAGAGAGGGAGACACAGACTCTGAAATAGGCTCCAGGCTCTGAGCTGGCAGTCAGCACAGAGCCCGATGCAGGGCTCGAACCCAGGAACCGCGAGATAATGACCTAAGCGAAAGTCGGACGCTTAACCGACTAAGCCACCCAGGCGCCCCTGTGGTATCCTCTTAAAGCCCAAATGTCTTCTGGTTCATTTTTGTGAATAATTTTTTATCACCATTAATAGCTCCTAAAGCAATATATAACTTTAACAAACCGTAACCACCACGTTAAAAAACTTGGATAAACAAGTGTTTATCCAAAAAAAAAAAAAAAAAAACCAAAAAAACAAAAGAATAATTCTAACCAACCTCCCATTTTTGTGATGAAATTAAGATAGTTTTTTCTTTTTTTCTTAAATGCCTTTTGTAAATCTCATGTTGGTTCTAACCAACAGCAACAATGATTGTAGAATGAAGCTCTTGGAGGCATGGAAATAGCTAAGAGGTTTTCTGTAAACAGAGTTTGGTGTTTATGGTGGTTTGATATGTTTTTTGACTTAAATTTTCCCCTTTTACAACAATCTGTAATATGAAGTGTAAACATGGAACTTTGACCCACCCTTGGGTAATAATGGATCAAGTGTCCTAAGACTTTGGAAGAGAGTTGGGACTAAGGAACCTGAATCATTTCCTTCTGTTAGTTTGCTTTGTTCTCCAGTATAGCTTGCATGCTTGTGTGTTTTCCTGTTCACCTACTGTGTGCTTACTATCCTAAGCTCTTAACAAATATTGTTTGTAATCTTTAAACCCGTCCTGGAGAACGTGATTGTGCATATAGTGTAGACTGTTGTTTAATAGTTTGGAGCACAGGACTGGTGCTCTAGAGGCCTGCTGTCTGCATACAATCTGCTGACCTTGGTCAAGTTGCTTATCCCCTCTGTGGTCAATTCCTTATTTGAAAAATGGGGGAAGTGGTACCTACTTCACAGGATTATTGAGACAATTACATAAGATAAATACATGCAGTAGAGCCTGGCTTCACAAACACATGTTGGTTTCTGTTACCATTACTATTGTTATTACCCAAGGGCACCTCGGTACTAACTAAACGGTAAAGTAAAACTCTGCACTGTAGTTTGACGATAGGGTCTCAACCCATGACTCTATTTCTGGATTGCATATTTAGTACCTAATGTAGCCCTGAATCCTCATTATGTATTTATTAATTAAAGGTGAGACAGATTATTATAATGTCTTTTTAAATCTGTGAATAAAAAGTTATAGTCTGTGCTTGTAAATAATGTAAGGTAATTATGTGGTTGAAACCACACTTGACAAGAGGCAAGTCTCAGGTTGGGTCCATGGGTTCAAGAGAAAAGAAGGAAAAAGAGAAAAATGTTCTCTTGAAATAGATATTATTGGCATAGTTTTACTGGGGAAGAGACAGAGGCTCAGCCCTCCAGGGACTTGTTTAGGGTAACTCACCTACCAGGTGGGGAGCTGAGGTTGGAAACCAGGATGGGCTGATGGAGGTGTGTTATACTGTAAAATTCTTACCTGTAGCCCGAAGCAGGGTGGCTTGTAAGAGCCAGTGGGTATAGTCTGTTACATTTTGTTCATTTCTGTTATTCTTAATTATCTGCTTAGTCGCTCTTGCAACCGAAAAGTTTACTGAATTCACCCAGGGTATATGGATGAAAAGAAAGCTTAGTTTAGACTGATTTTTGCTTCGTTTGACTTTCTCTTCTGCTTTCTACAACTTCATTCTACTTCCGTCCTCTGTGCCCCATACTCCTCTGCCTGCCCATAGCTGCCTGCTTCCCAGGCATATTTCTCTGGTCTTCTTCTTCCCTTCCTGCTTTTTAAAGATCCTCCTCCCCCCCCCCCCTTTCTCCTCTATTCCACTTAAAACTCATTTTCTTAATGCCCACGATTAAAGAAATTTATCTGAGCTTACCTTAAAGAGGAAGTGAGATATAGATCATGAGAGGCATAGGCTTTGGAAATAGCCCTTGATTAGCCCATGAGGAGTTATGAAGGTTAACTAAGCTAGTGCAGTGAAGGTGGTATTTGCCTGACACATAGTCAGTCCTCAGTGTTTGTTAGCAATGATTATTTCTAGAGGTGGAGGTAAGTGGTATTTACGTTTTAGAGGCAGAAGTTGATTGTAAAGGTTAACATACAGAAGGAAAGGGGTTTTCCCTTGCTTTGTGTCTCTTATTAACAATATTTCTTTGTTTTTCCCATGTCTGCTATAAAGGGATATGCAAGCTGACACGCCACTTATGAAACTGTTGAAATAGGAAAAAAGTACACAGAACTTTATAGTATCAATTCTTAGATCATAAGAAATATAATTTCCTAAGTACGTATTTAAATTCTTTTCTTTGTAAAACAGGGACCTATTGTTTTTGCTGGAAAACAGTTAAAGCCTCCCGCCCATTTTAGTGTAGTTATTACTGCCTATTAAGACAAACTTATAGATTTATAGTTTATATGTGCTTCTAACTACTGTTCTTATCTGGATACACCCCTAGGATGAGCATTTTTTTTTTTTTTTTTAAGTTTATTTATTTTGAGAGAGAGAGCGAGCACAAGTCAGGGCGTAATAGAGAGAGAGAGAACCCTAAACAAGCTCCTCACTGTCAATGCACAGCCTGATGCAAGGCTCGAACTCGCAAACTGAACCATGGGATCTTGACCTGAGTCAAAATCAAGAAATGGCCGCTTAACTGACTGAGCCACTCAGGCACCCCTAGGATGAGCATTTCTTACAACTTCGGTCAGGACAGGCTACATTATGCTGTAGTGAAAACCCCTAAATCTCAGTAGGTTAAAAAGTAAAGGTTTGCCTACCTGTTGACAGATCCAGATTCAGCTTGGTTTGGGGAAGGGGCAGGAAATCCTTGCTTTTTGTCACTTTTACCCTGGGATCCAGGCTGACAGATCCACCATCTTTCACTTGGTTACTGTGACATGGTGAATTGCATACTGGATTTTAAAGCTTTCATCTGGACATAATCTCACTTTTCACTGGCCTGAACAAGTTACGTGGCCAGCGCTAATTTCAAAAGAGCCACACAGGTGCCAGGAAGGAGATAAAACTGGGGTGTTTGGGAAGCAATCTTCGTGACTCTGTCACTGGATTACCTGTCTCTCCCGCAACTAATCTTGGCCAATCCTGTGGATTCTGCCTCCTGAACACTTCTCTGTGACCCACTACCATCAGTCTGGTTCAGGCATCTGAGCCTCCTACCTGGTTTCCTTGCCTGTGGGCCAAGAATTTCCAGTGTTTCTAAAATGCAAATCTGATTTTGTTACTCCCCTGCAGGAAACTCTCCGGTGGGTTTTCTTTTCTCCTCAGGAAAATTCCAAACCCTCACAACATACATACCTCTGCAGCCTGTCTCCTGCCATTCCTCAATTACTAAGTGCCTTTTGATGTCTTAACTTCTTGAACCCCCAGCATTCTAAGAGGTACATGTGATATTTCTGATTGAAACAGCCAGTCTTGCCTAGGTAGCCTTGAAACTTCCAACTTTTCCTTTTTATCAGTTGCTGGAAGGGACACTAGTTCTATAGGGAAGGATGGTTGATGGAGGTGTAGAAGGAGCTGGAATCCTAAAAGAGTAAAGCCATCAAGCAGAAACTTGTGTTTAAAGTTGAAAACTAAAAACATTCATGAGAATAACATCTCATCCTATATTTAGTGAGCATTACAATGGTCTTGTAAGATCTGTTCTAAGAGGCTCCCCTTGGAGACATCTGGAC